CGGATCCCGCCTGGAGTGCCCGTCTGGCCCTGTCAAAGGCGCCTTTGTCCCCGCACAGAGCCCTGACCCGGGGGCTGTCCCCACGGCGGGGTGGGGGACACACACACACACACAGGGACAGCCCCCCCGTGCCAACCCCCAAAGCTCCCGGCAGCCCCGGGGATGGAGAGGGAAGAGGAGGAGGAGGAGGAGGAGGGGTGAAGGCTCCCCAGGGCTGACAGCCCCTCCCCAGCCCCATTCTGTCGCTCCGCTGCCTTTGATCTGCCAAACTCGGGGGCGTTCAAAGCGCCGCCGTGCAGGATTTTGGGGGCAGGGGGAGATGTTGGGGGGCAGTGGGTGGATCTGGGCGTCTCCAGCCCTTGGGTCCTCATCCCATCCCTCGGGGATGCCGGCACTGGGAGCACTGGGAGCAGCCCAGGGGGGCCACCCCAAGGCTCCCCCTGAATTTTGGGGGGGCACTGGGAGCACGCAGAGCTCCCCCAAACATGTTTCTGGTCACCAGGAGCACCCCAGGGAAGGCCCCCAGAACCTGACGTGGTTCTGGGCACTGGGATGTCCCAAAGGGGACCCTGGGGTGGCGAAAGGGGGTCACTGGCTCAGGATCCACCACACATCAAACACCCAACAATTTCCAATTCTTTTATTTCAAACCCCTCTCTCTTCCCTTCCCACTCCCCCCACCCCCATCAGCCAAAAAAAAAAAAAAATATTCCAAAACCCCAAACAAAACCCACAAAAAAAAAAACCCAAACCCATCAGTCAAAACGACGCTAGAAATGAGTTACAAACACCGAGTCAGCTCTCCCTCACTGACCACTCAAAGAAAACACCCCAAAAATCCCCCAAATCCAGGAATTCCACACCAGCTTCCCCCCCAAAAGGACCTGCAGCAGTTACTACCATCCCTCACGAGAGGCCAAACATGCCTATTAATACAATATATACAGACAAACCCACAGGTACAGCCAGGCCCCCCCTCCCCGCCCCCAAAAATAACCAAACACACCCAAAAGTGCATGTGTGGTTTATATCAAAAAACGTTATTTTTCTTTTCTCTCTCTCTCTTTTTTTTTTTTAACTTTTTTTTTTTTTTTTTTTTTTTTTTTTTTTTTTTTTTTTTTTTTTTTTTTTTTTTTTTTTTTTTTTTTTTTTTTTTTTTTTTTTTTTTTTTTTTTTTTTTTTTTTTTTTTTTTTTTTTTTAAAACCATTTAGTAACTTTTTAATATAGTATACGAAAATAAATTATACAGCAACTATTTTTAATAAATTAAGCACGCACCAAAACAAAAAAAAAAATTAAAATAAAATTAAAAGGGAGGGGGAATAAAGATCAAATTAAGCAAAGCTGCATTTTTTTTGTTGTTGTTGCTGTTGTTCTACCCAAGGGTGGTTCCACAGTCCTGGAGAGGTCCTGCCCTTGGAGCTGCCAAAATCTGCTCATTCCTTCTCTAAAGGCAAGGCTGGATCCAGTGTAAGCCATATATTTTTTTTTTTTTTTTGGAGTGAAGCCCTGGATGGGGGGGGGGGAGGCACTGGGAGCATCCCAGGGGGGAACTGGGAGCTCCCCAGTGTGTTACTGGGCACCAGTTGTGCTTGTTCAGCTGGAGGCACAGTTGGAGGCAGCGCTGCCAGGACCCCCCCTGATCCCAAGGGATGTTTTGGGAAGGGGGTTCCCAACTGCCCCATCTCACCTGGAAGACTCTGGATGAGGAGTGAGGGGCTGCTGGGAGAGTGGGGATGAATCCCTCCATTCCCAAAGCCAGAGGGGTTGGAAAAGTGGATAAATCCCTCTGTCCCCAAGGAGGGTTTGGAAAGGTGGATAAATCTCTCTGTTCCCAAAACCCAAGAGGATTTGGAAGGTGGATAAATCCCTGAATCCCCAAAAGACAAGGAGGGCTTGGAAAGGTGGATTAACCCCCCCATTCCCAAAAGCCAAGGGGGTTGAGTTTGGGAGGTGGATAAATCCCTCCATCCCCAAAGCTAAAGGGGTTTGGGAGGTGGATAAATCCCTCCATCTCCAAAAGCCAAGGGGAGTAGGAAGATATCCAGGTCCCCCCTTCCAAGCCCTCAGCCCTGATGGTCAATTTGAAGGGTAAAATCATCCCAAGGACAGATTTTTAACTGCAAGGAATGAAGGAAAATGACCAGTTCCCTTCCCCCTGGAAGCAGGAAGGGCCTTCCTTCAGCAAATCCTACTTTTCAGAGGTTTTCTCCCCAAAACACTCCCTGGACTCGAGCCCCAACCATCACCTGCAGCACAGCCCCACAGGTCAATCTTAAAACCGCTTTCAGGGTTTAAAAAACGTGTTTAAGGGATTAACATCTGGCCAGATGTGGCAACACCACACCTGGGGCTCCCAAATCCAGCCATTCCCGACCACAGGAGCAGCCCAGGTGGATCCCACATGGGGCCACCCTGCAAATCCAGCTGCAAAGCTCAACCCAACTCAAGCTAAGGATGAAATTTTTCCACCCTTTTTTTTTGGCCCCAAGGAGGTGGATGCTGAGCTGGAAACTCCCACGAACTCCCCCTGGTTTATCCCAGTTTCTCGCTGGAAGGTCATTCCCTCCCTTGAAACAGGGTGTTAGGAGAGGAGGGGGAACCTGCCAACCTGAGCAGGAGCAGCACAGGGCTGAGGGCTGTCCCCTTCCAGCTGGAAAAGCACAGCAAGGAGCTTTTCCAGGGACACTTTCCGTGCTCTGGTGGTTTTTATGGTCCATTTCTCGGCTCATCCGGCTCCGGCCCCCGCTGGAGGGAGCAGGACCAGCACCACCCCTGCACAAATTCAAGGTTGGACAAAGGTGGAGATAAAGAATATTTTTTTCCCCAGATCAGCAGGATGGGAGCAGCCTCCAGAACCAGCCTGCAGGACATTCCAGGGGGGATGATACAGCACCCAAAAACTGGGATTGACCGGGAAGGCAGGGCCCAGGCAGCCCTTGGTGATGTTCCCCAAGTCCTCAGAGCCCACTCCTCACTTCCAGCCCCGGATCAAAACCTCTGGCTCATTCCCAGCCCCACACAGGGATCAAATCCCTCGCTCCCCTCACACCTCCAGGTGCGGGAACAGCTTTATTTTCCATGGATTTCAGGAGAAGGCTCTTAACTACAGTTAACCTTGGGATCTCAGCCAGGCTGGGGCTGGCACTGACCTGCTCCAGCTTTCCTGCCTGGCTCGGAGCAAGGAGAGGTGGAGCAGAGCCCTGGGAATGCTGAGGAGCATCTGCCACCTCCATGGATCCTCGGGAGGGGTCTCATCCCTATCCCACACCCCCCCCCATCCCCTATCCAACACCTCCCAGCACATCTCCCGTGTCATTTCAGACCCAAAACCTTCCTGCTGGCCCGAATTTGGGAAGAGCTGCCCCCTCCCTGCCACGCTCAGGGTTCAAGTAACAGCAGGAGCACCATCAGGCTGTTGGGATAAATCCTACAAGGACACCAACAGCCCACCAGAAACATGGAATTCAAGTATTGTCCCTGAAGTCTGGCTGCTTCAACGGCTCTGAAAGGAGTGGAACCACCTCCTCCTCCTCCCTCAGGAGGAGCTCTGGGTGGGACACAGGGATGGGGCGCTGCAGGAAATCTCTCCTGACCCACCAGGGTTGTGCGTTTTCACCCCAAAACAAGCCCAGCACCCACTTCCAGCTCCCCCCCACCTCCCCTTCAGCACCACCTTTTCCTGCTCTGCCCTCCAGGGCAGCTCCTTCCTCCTTCCCAAACCCAGCCTGCACCTCTCCATCCCAGAGCAGGGATGGAGGGAGTGGGAATGCTGTCACTGCCATGCTATGGGGAGGATGAGCTTCTCCCCAGCTTGGGCAGCTCCCCTGTTCCCTGCACCCCACCATCCCTCCCTGATCCACACACACCAGCCACGCCATGGATCCTGCTCCCAGGGTCTGTTTTTGGGGAGAAGCCTGGCAGGACACACCGGGCACGGATCCCCTCCAGGCCTGGCTCTTGGGCACAGTCAGGATGGAGCAGCGTCCCATGAGGTATTTCTGTGGATTTGGAAGCTCAGTTTCTCATCTGGAAGCCAAATCCTTTCTTTGCAGAGCACAGTTTTGCTCCCAGGCCGGAGGGGGGAGGGCAGGGTTTGTAGCACCTTGGGGGCAGCGTTTCCAGCCTGCCTGAAAATCCAGCACGAATCCTGCTGAATCCAGGGATCAATCCTGCAGGGAGAGCCCGAGGTCCTGGCAGCTCACAGGGCACTCACCTCGATCCTGGCAGGACGGGAGCGATTCCCTGGATTGAGAGCACGGGAATTTGCTCCTCTAAATACAGGGATGAAGAGGCTCCTCCAGAATTCCCAGCATCGCTTGGAACCCCACCAAAAAGTTCCTGTTCAGTGGCTGAAGCAGCAGACCAGGATTTGAAGGGGGAAGGCAAGAGCCACCACCTCTCCCGGCTGTGCCGTGGATCCACAGATGTCCCAGGGAGAGAAGGGAGCTCCCAGAGATCAGATGCTGCTCCAGAGGACCCTCAGGGATCTGCTCCTTGCTCTGAGCTGCTCCTCAGGACCCCTTGGCAGCTCCAAAGGGAGCCACTCCATTCCCAGCTTCTGGAATCAGCCAGAGGGGGGCTGGAAGTGACACATCCCGTGGCTCTGCAGGAAGTACCTTTGGTCCACAGACAGCTCCAACAGTTCCAGCTTCTCCACCTCCCTTCCACTTCCCGGGGGCTTCAGGGGGCTCTTCCAGTGTTTGCTCAGGGAACGGCGCTTCCTCAGGGGAGCGGCTCCCACCATTCCCTCGGGATCCACGGCATCCCCGTGGCTCACCCACTCCTCCTTCCTCGGGTCCAACCTCTTCCAGTCCCACAAATCCAGCTGCAAAGCTCAGCTTCCCAAGGCTGGGCTCGGCTCCCGAATCCCGGGAAGCAGGGGGGGCTGAGCAGCCCAGAGCTCCGGGTTTCCCAGAGGTTATTCCCCGGAGCTGTGAATCCTCCTGGCTCAGGGTGCCTCCAGCTGCATCCCCTCTCCGTGGGGACCAAAGGGCAGTCTTTGCCCACGATGCCCTTGGAGCAGATGGATCTTCCCAGAGAGTCCCCTCGTCCCTCCAGCCCTGCCCACCTCGAGGTTTTTCCAAGGCAGGGCCACCACGCAGTCACTTCTTCTCATGCTGAAAATGAAAGACTAAACGACATCAAAAGATAAAAATAATAATAATAAAAAAAAAAACTTTCCCAAACTTGTAAATAGTGCCATGACATTCCTTGTTCTGCCAGGAGGCCGGGGCCGGGCTCGGCTGCCTCCGAGACGCCTTTTCCCAGGAGCCAAGGCTCTGGATCCTGCTCTGCTGGGCTTCTTGGGAATCTTGGCCCCTCTTCTCTGTACAAAAGAGCTGCAGAGCAGGAGTGGCCCCCCCCAGCAGCAGGTGAGGGGGGGGCTCCTTCCCACCACGGCCTGGCTCGGGCTGCGGGATGGCAACAACCAAATTCCTGGGGGGAGAGAGAGGGGAGAGGGATCAGCGGGATGGATCTGACCCCAGGAGGGAGCACAGGCTGGGGTGGGAACAACCTGGAGGCTTGATCCCCTTCCCAGGGAAAGCTGGGAATGGCAGAAGACTGTGAAACCTTGTTCCCCTCCCCAGGGAATTGTAGCAGACCATGAAGCCTTGTTCTCTTTCCCAAGGGTAAAAGGCCAGGAAGCCTTCTTCCCCTCTCCAAGAAAAACTAGGAATGGTAAGAGACCATGAAGTCTTGCTTCCCTCCCCAGGGAAAGCTTGGGAATGGTGGCAGACCCCGGAGTGAACAGCCCCAGGAGGGTTCTGTGGGTTTGCAGTCCCAGGGCACAGTGGGATTTGGGGCTCTGATCCCGAGGGATGGGTGCCAGCAGCATTCCCATAGCAGGACTGGGGCTCTGATCCCGAGGGATGGGTGCCAGCAGCATTCCCATAGCAGGACTGGGGCTCTGATCCCGAGGGATGGGTGCCAGCAGCATTCCCGTACCATCAGTGCCGGGAGCACGGGCGAGGCAGCTCCGCTACGTGGAGGATTCCGGCTCCTGGGTCTGTTTGGAGATGAGCTGGGCCTCCTTCAGGGACAGGTAAACCTCCTCCTGCGGGTCGTAGTAGTAGAACTTGCGGATGTAGGAGATGAGGGGCCTGGAAAAGCAGCGGGAAGAGCCTCATCCCCGAGCCACGAGCCCTCCAACCTCCCCACGGCACAGCCAGAGCCCCTCCCCAGAGCCAGAATTCCCAGCAGGGAACACCTCCCTCCCCATGTCAGAATTCCCACCCCACATCCCACGGGACGCTCATCCTGCTGTCCCCAGGCTGGGGAAGGCACTCATTCCCTCCCCAGGCCCTGGCTGGAGGTGCAGGCCCTTCCCACTGCCCGGGAATCCAAAGGGCCCCATCCCCGGGACTCACTTGGGCAGCGGGAGCTCGGGAATGTGGTCGATCCGGACCAGCTGCCGGATCCGGAAGCGGCAAAGGTGCTGAAGGGATTTGACGTTGCTGAACCTGGAGACGGGATACAGGAGCTGGACTGGCGTTGGGGGGAGACCTTTGAGGGGGGGAAAAAAAAAAAAAAAGGCAGTGCCGGAGGTGAGGAAGGGCTCCTGATCCCCCAGGGAAAAGCTGAGCCTCTCCTCAGGTCCGGGTTCCACACGGGATCGTGGAACGGTTTGGGTGGGAAGGGAACTTCCCACGCAGGGAACAACCTCCCGTGCCCCAAAAGCTCCCCCCTCCCCAAAATTGGGGACAACAACGAAGCCCACAGGCCCCAGAGGTGGGAGGAGCACCGGGAAGGGTCTCTGGGAGCTGGGCTCACTCCCAGCACAAGATTTGATTTGTCTTTGCAGGGGGATTCCAAGGCAGTTCCACTCTAACCCCCTCTCCTGCTGGCCTGTCTCCCAGGGCACTGCAGTGAGAGGAGAAAAGGGAAGGCTCTTCACACTGAGACGGGCTCCAAACTGCTCCAGGCAGCTCAGGAAGCTGGGAGCCAGCTTTGGAAGGAGCAGGGAACAGCGAGCCATTGAAGGCTGGATCCTGCCCCCTCTTATTCTCCCACCAGCAAAAAAAAAAAGAAAAAAAAAAGGGAATGAGCCTCTGGGAGCTCAGCCAGCAGCCACAGGGACACAGCCCGAGCTCCACATGGCCCCTGCCAGCTGGAAGAGCCCCCTCCTCCAAAACCCCTCCCTCCAAAACCCCTCCCTCCCAGCAGCAGGTCACTGTTTCAGCAGGAAAACAGCCCTAAGGAGCTCACTGAGGAGATCCCAAATATGCTCCCATTACGGATCAGGCATCAGCCCAAGACTTGGTTTATATCAAGGGTCTCCAGACCCAGCACTGGATCCGGGGAAGTGCAGGATCCAGCAGCAAAGGGCACCTCAGCAGGTGCCCAGCACTGTTTGAGGGGGATATTTTCTTTTTTTCAATGGTATTTTTTTTAAATCAAATCCTTCCTAAGCTATTTTTTGCCTGGCTCCTAAGCCCCCAAACCCTCAGTGGGGAGGAAGAGACCCCAGGATCCGGAAGGTAAAGTCTCTCGAGTTCAAGGGTTTTTGGAATGGAGGGTCACTGCAAAAGCAGCTTCACAACCCTCTCCTGCCCAGAGCACGTTCTAAATCAGCTCCCAGTGATTGCTGGTGTCTGCAGAGGGCAACACTGAACAGCTCCAGGCTGTGCTTCCAGCCTGCAGGAATGCTGGGCAGGGAACCCCAACTCCTTGGGCTGCATCCTCTCGGTGCTGCAGTGCCATGGGAAGGTCCCTGTCCCCACCAGGGCCTGCAGCAGTGGTGGCAGCGTGGACAGGGAGCAGATTTACCACCATTTAATTGAGAACTCTCCCCAGCAATCCTCACCCTGCTCTCCATGGTTCCCATCTCTGCTCTTTGCTCAAGACATCACCACTCACCCCTTTTTCCAAGCCCTGTCCCCCACTGTTGCTCCCTCCATCTACCCACTTGGCTCTTCCCTCCTCCCTCTCGCCCTGGATTTTTTTTGGCTGGCGGGACAGAGAGCAGCAAAACCCAGGGAAACAAAAAATCCAGCTCCAGTTGCCCGCCCAGGTTTTCCAGGAAGGGAGGGATGTGAGCCCTCGGGATTTGATGGATGGGGAGCCCAAGCTGTGCGGCCCAACGTGCTCCAACAAGGCTTGCAAAACATTCCCTGCTGGATTGCAAGCCCCTGCCTGTGGATGGGCCCTCCAGGGACTCCAGATCCACAGGAGCAATGCCTGAGGCTCCAGCTCTGAGCTTCACACCTGGAATCCCTCCCACATCCCTGCCCTCCACACACAGCCCCAGGTGGAGGAAAACTCAGCCTGGGAAAACTGGGAAGCCACAAAGCACGGAGAGGGAAGGGAAGGAAAAGGGGGAGGGGGTTTTAGCAGCCAAATAATTGCCTGGTTGAGGGGGGGGAGGTGGTACCTCGTGATCCCAAACTCCTGGAGAGAGGGAGGTTTGGGAATTCTCCTCCTTCCTCCCACCTCAGGAGTGGAGATCTGCTCCTCAGGGCGCGAGAGGAGGGGGGAGGGCTCACTCACCTGGGACCCTGGAGCGCAGGAAGTAGAGGAACTTCCCGTTTTTGGAGTGCATGATGGCCCTCTTGATGAACTCCACCACGGACTGGCAGCGGTCCTCGAACTTGGGGTGGCACCACAGGCTGAAGGTGCCTGCCAGGAGAGAGAGAGAGAGAGCAGAGGGAGGTAAGAGGGGATGTTTTGGGGGACGGGCCTGGCGCTCCCAAAATCCAGGTGAACGTTCTCAGAGCTGGGGTGGGGCACTAAACATGTTGTTTCCCCAGGGATCAGGCTGGGGAACCACAGAGAGATGTGACAGCGTGGCCACTGGCACCCAGAGGTGGCCTGTGGCCACCTCTGGGTGCCAGTGGCCACGCTGTCACATCTCCCTGAACTTGCCAACAGCTGCAGCTTGCTGGGACTGAAACTTCAAGCCAAAATGGGAATGTTAAGTAGGGGCAGGGTCACAACACAGGCCATGGGTGTCCCTGTCCCTTGTCACCCGACACGACGCCCGCCCCGGGGCTCGGGTGGCCCCGGGGTGAAACTGGAGATGGGGACACGAGGCCAGCAGCCCCCCCAAGCGGGTCACAGAGCTCCAAGTGGGTCAAACCTCCGAGCCAGGCCAGTCCCAGGACCCTGCTGCGACCAGACACCCCCTCCTCGCACCAAAATCCTGGAGTCGTGGATCAGTTCGGGTTAAAAAAAACAAAAAATGTCTCCGAGACTGAGCCCAAACTCTGAGGTCAAGATGGGGGGTCCCTGCACATCCCCCCAATTCTCACCTCTGTAGTGCTCCATCCTGGTGTGGTGGGTGATGCCCTGGGACCTGAAGCTCAGGCTCAGGATGTACCGGGGGTCGGAGCTGTCCCGCACCAGGAAGGACCCGTCAGGTTTCCCCTTCAGCTTCATCTCGGCGTCCTCCCAGTTCATGGGGCCCCAGTACCACCCACACTGGGGACAGAGGCGGTCAGAGGGTCAGAACACGCTGGCAAGGGGGATTTGTCAGCATCCAGACACCGCACAGCTTGCTCCTGGCTGCCACATTCCCGAATGGAAGGGCCTTGCATTTCCCCCCCACCCTGGGAGTGCGGATGGTTGGGATGGGGAGGGCACCATCCTATCCCATCCCAACCCATCCCTCATCACCCCAAAGGTGGGGAGGGGACAAACAGTACCAGGACACACCCCCCCCGCTCCACGCCCAACAGAATGCTTTCCTGGACCCAGAGAATCATGGAATAATTTAGGCTGGAAAAGACCCCTGGGATCACCGAGCCCAACCCTTCCCCCAGCACCCTAACCCACATCCACACGGCTCCCCCCCGGGGATGGCAATTCCCCCCCTGCCCTGAGCAGGTCTTTCCCACCCCTACCCTAATCTTGTGCTCCCAAGTCCACAAAGCGAGCGATCAACCCCCAAAATCAAACCCTGACCGTGCGATTTTCCCCTCCTGGCTGTTCCCCCCCCCCTCCCCACAATAATCCCAGGAGCCCCTTTACCTTCTCCAGCTCCCTCAGGCTGGCGGCGAAGCTGCTGGAGTCGGGTCGGGAGAGGGGGCACTGCAGGTGTGGGATGGGCTGGGCCACCCCCTCCGGGGGCCGCACCGGGACGATCCTGGGAAAGGCGTCTGCACGGGGAAAAAAAACCCAGGGCCATCGTCACCCACGGGGGGATCCCCCATGGATGGCGATCCCAGCCCCCCACACGGCTCTGGAGGTCTGGAAAGGAGAAGGACCCATGGAAGGGCAATACCCTCGTGGAGGAGAGGCTGGGAATCGTTCCCTGTGCCTTCACCTGCTCTTTAGTCTGGCTCACAGAGGAGGAGTGGGAGGAATGGACACACAAACACCCTGGAAAAGGGGCAGGGAAAGCCCTCTGGGTCACAAGGAAAGCGAAAGCAAAAGGGAGAATCGCTCAGGAAAACTCTGTGTGTGTGTGTGAGTGGGGCTGTCACAGGCTGGGGTTCCTGCCTGGAATTCTGCTCCCATGGCATTGCTGACCCTCCTTATCGGGGTGGGCTGAGCCCCAGAGGGACCAGAGGCTGAACTGAGGACAGAGCTCAGTCCTGAGCTCCAGCAGAACCACAGAGGGTGAGGAGAGCCACGGGAACAGAGCCTGGCCATGGCACTGCCTGCAGCCCCTCAAAGTGGAGCAAGAAACCCCCCCAGAGTGCAGATTCCTGCAGGGAAAAGCCAGAGCCTGGGTAAAGCTCAGCTGACCTGGGGCGTGGGGCGGAGGAGGCGGAGGCAGAGGGAAAGACTGCAGGGAAGAGCCCATTGGCCCCACTAGGACAGATGGAGGCAGCGTCCCACTGATATCATCTAGGAGAGAACAGAGGCAAGAGAGCTTCAGAGAACAGGAGAGACAGCGAGTGTGTGACAGGAGCAAGCCAGGAATCCAGCACTGCCCGGAGAAGGGAAGATGGAGCTTCCCCCTGGCAGCTCTCCATCCTCCTCTGGCTTCTGAGCGTGGCTTCACACCAGCTTGGGGCCCTGCACACACACACACACACGTCCCCAGGGGAGAGGAATCCCTTTTCCAGCAAGAGAAAAAAAAGGCAATTCCAGGAAATCTCAGGCCCAGCACACAGGACAGCTGCTGACTTCACCCATCCCAAGCTGCTCCTGCTCAGAGGAAGCTCCTCCAGAGGAGGATGACGAGCATCCCAGCCAGGCTCCTGCTGCAGGAGGCTCCACTTGCACCACCTGGACACCACAGAAGGGATCCAGCCTCACTGGGTGATGGGCAGGGAGGGGAAACACTCCCAAAGGCAGCAGAAAATGCTACAAAACCAGCACATTCCCTCCCTCCCACCTCACTGTCCCACCCTCCCCCTCCCCTCCTGCCCAATCCAAGGGGAATCCGAAGCTGCCAACGAATGCTCGGCCAAGGGAAGGGGGAGCAGGTTTGGCACAGGGGTCAGGGGGGCCCTGAGGATGCTGCCCCACGGATCCCACGCTCCCAGCCCACCCAGGGAGCCCCCCAGGACGGTACCGAGCAGGCTGAGGCTCCTCCGGGGCGGAGGGGGAGGAGTTGGAGGGTGAGGGGAGCTCAGTCCTCGCTGGGAAATGTCCACGTCCACCAGTGACACCGTTTCACCTGCAGGGGTGTGGAGAAAACACCGTCAGAGCCGGGCAGAAGGGGCAGGAGCCTCCCCAGGGTTTGGGAAATGGTCCCATCAGTTGTCTCCAGGCGGAACCTCCCGGCTGTGACGCTCAGCAGGCACCAACCACCCCTTCCCCAAGGTCAGGCTGAGCCACTGACACTGGACCTGGGCCTGAACCCCACCCAAGCCCAGCACCAGGAGGCTCCAAGAGGCCCTTTCCAGCACAGAATCCCCATAAAAGCAGGGGACGTGATGATCCCACAGCCAGGGTGGCACCTCCTGCCACAGGACTGCGGTCACACCCCTCTGAGTTTGCCTCAAATGACCAAACAAAAACAAACACCTTTTGCCCCAAAGGCCACAAAAATGCTCTTAAAATTAATAAGAAGGAGCTGGACAGGGTTTTAAATTAAATGCATTAAATAAGTGGGATCCCCCAAAGCCTAAAGGTTCCAGATCCAGGATGCTGCCTGGGGAGAGTAAGGACACAAAAAGGCTCTTAAAAACAGAAGAGCTCTTCAAACCAATCTAACTCACAACAGGGAAAGCTGAAAATTAGGCCTAAAATCATGGAGAGGAATGAAAACACCAAACTCAGTCGAGGTCAAAGCATCAGCCTCGACACCAGCACCTAAATCCCAAAGGGAAAAAAAACAGGGATAGTGGGTTTTCCCCTCCCCCCAAAAAAAAAAACCTCGGTCCAGCCAGGCTCTGGTGAAGCACCAACACTAAACCAGAGGATCCTGAAGAGCTGTGGCTGCCTCACACTGGAACTCCTGTGGGCAGGAACCGCTCTCCTGCTCCAGCATCTCCCACCCCTCGGCAGGTGGATCCACCTGCAGTGCACGCAGGCCTGCCTCGACTCAGCTCCCTTCTGCTTTCTGAAGGCCCTGGCTGCTAATGAGGCACGTTAAGGGCAGCATTTACAGGGTGGTTATTACACCTTGTCCCTGGGGGGTTGCTGGGTGTGGGGCACACGCAGCCACACGGCCGCTCTCGCAGTCCCACACCCTAAAAATAAAGTGGCTGGGCCGCACTCAGCCCGTGCAAGCGACACCAAAGACACCCAGGCTGGGGGGAGCTGCAGTAATTCAGCTTCTAAGCCCTTCCCCAGGCAGTGGGGGACTCACAGAGGCGGATTTCCCCAAGGAGAAGGCTGGGGAAAGGCAACGAGGGCCTTCCCCAAAGGCTTCACCACCCACCTAAAATTAAAACGATCACGAAACTCACACAGGCTGGGCCAGGCATTTGAATTCTGCCCCACTTTGGCGGTGCCAGGCTCGGAAAAAATCCCCTAAAACCAGTCCTTACACAAGCCAGGAGCGCAGTGGTGCGAGGCTGGAGGAGCCACCGCAAACCAAAAGCAATTAAAATCCAGATATTGGCTCTGGAGACACCCCCGTGGTCTTTCTGTGCAGGGAAAGCTCCCAGGGAGGGCACTGCCACTACCCCACTGATGAACCAATAACTAATGAAACCAACCTCCCAAATTTAAAGCAAGAGCTTGTCACCTCCAGGTCTTCCTCTGCGGGTTCTTGTGAGGAAAAGCAGCTCCACACACACACACACACACATCACCAGCACACAGAATTATGGGTTTGGTTTGTTTTTTTTTTCCCCCCTCAGAACTTCCCCAGCACAGCAGCTGGCAGAGCAGCACAGGCAGCTTTTTGCTTTCACCAGCCTTAATTTGCTTAATAAATTTGCACATGGCACAGAGGAATCCGCTCCAGTCACGTGAGAGGCACCAAGAGAAGGGACGTGGGACTGGGGAAGGGACCAGGCACTGCCACAGCTGAATCACCCACGGGTGACCCTGCTCCTGCAGGAGCAGCTCAGAGCCTTCCAGGCACTGCTTTCTGGGAAACCAGAGCAGTGCTCTGCCCAGAAGGTCACCCCTCTGACGGTTCAACCAGTTTTCATTGGGATTCATCAGAACTCTCCACAAGAAAAAAAAAAAAAAAAAAGGGTTTCTCCCTCTTCAGGAATCCAACCCATGCACTGAGCTCTGCCACACAACACCTTTCCCAGCAGGAAAAGGTTTCCAGACCGACCCTCCCGCTCCTCTCACTGCACAGACACCTCCTGGTTCCTCTGCTCTGCAACGAGACCCTCAGCAGGAATTTACTTTGAGTCTGACCTTCCTCCCAGGCCACTTCCCCGCCCCCCCAAGCTGACAAAAACACTTGTGACCTTCAGTTCTGGGTCCTGAGGTGGGATTCTCCCCAAGCTCCTCGGGGATTCTCCCCAAGCCCTGTGGCCAGGACTGTTTTGACCGAGGGGTTTCTCAGCTCCAGAGCTCCCAGGCTCCAGCAGAGCAGGATTTCCCCCTCACATCATTCACAAACCAACCCCACTTCCCCCAGCAGCAGAAAGGGGAAGGTCACAGAGCAGCAGGACACGGGGAGAGGGGGGGAGAACACGCAGAAGGAGGTGGAAAAGATCCCCAAAAAGGTTTTGATTCCCAAAACTGTCACGGAGAAGAAGTGCTGGCCTTGGTGTGAGGTCCAGGTGGGGAGGAGGGCTTGGTCTCAGACCCCTCTCCTCGGTCTCAGACCCCTCTCCTCGGTCTCAGACCCTTCTTTTTGGGTCTAAGGCCAAGCAGGACAGAGGGGACACTGCAGAGATCCTGGTTTGGGATCTCGTGGAATCAATATTCCTCATTCAGCACGTCTCACAGCAAAAACGAAACCCCAAACTGGCGCGAACCTTCCACGACTCCTCACCTGTGAAGAGGGGGCTGAACACAACCGGGGAAAAGGCACTTTGAGTTCTTGTCAGTCTGTGTTTCCTGTTGGGAATAAGAAAAAAAGGGGGTGAGCAGAGATGACCCATCAGCAGAAGAAAACATCCTTTGCCCTTCTCAGCTCAGGAGGATCTCGTCCTTCCCTCCCAGCAGCTCCATCCAGCCCAGCCCAGCCCCACGAGCTCACCCCACTCCCAGAGCTTTGGCCCAAGCAGGGCAGGCCCAGGAGAGCTGGGGCCCTGTCCTGCCACCCAGCAAATCCCTAAGCAGGTAATTAGTGATGTCTTTGGAAAGAAAAGCCCAAGCAAGTCCAGCAGCCAGAGCCAAGGAGCTGTTTCACAACAGACCTCACGCTGCTCCCCTGGCTCGGGCATTGCCAAATCCCTCGGCCAAACAGGTTGGGGCCCCGAGCAGTGTGGGGTTGTGCCTGGAGCCAGCCTGTGGAGGACACCAGCTCCCCAAAATGCAGGTGGAGCTAAACCCAGAGATCCCAAAAGAGATGGAAACAGCTAAAAACACCCCCCTGCTGAGGCCCAGGGATACCAGCAATCCCACGGAGTTGCTTCCCAAGTGGCTTTACAGCAATGCTGTGCTCTCCCCACTCCTTCCAGCACCTTCCCTGCTGAATGTTAAAGGGATTTATCCACACCCAGGCAGAGGAAACACTGGAAAACTGAGGCACAGAGCATGGAACTCCCACAGCATGAATCCAGGGCCGGGGTGAGTAAACTTCTCCTCTTTGTGTCCAGACATATTACTTTAATTCCCACTATTAATGCTGTCTGTTCACAAATAAAAATCCTGAGAGCTCTCATCATCACCCTGGCAGAGCTGAGTTAATGGTTGGACTCAATGAACCAAAAAGTCTTTTCCAACCTAAATGATTTCAGGATTCTCTATAAAACCCCATTAAAACATGTGGAAATGTTTTAATTTCAAGCCTCTAACACCTATTTGAGGTTGGAGGGTTTTTTTTTTCCCCCTCCCTCAACTCACCAATTATCATCCACACACAAAATTACACTTCTGGACTAATATCAACCAACCTTAAAATACAGTAACAGCTCTGCTCCCACTCACCAAGGCAGCCAGAAAGGAGCATTTCCCTGTTACCAAAACAGCTCCATTTCATGCCAAGATTTCACAGCATCGATTTCTGAGATTTCCCATTTCATCAGCAACAGGGAGAGAGCAAGAAACGATTCCCATGGACCAAATCTTCCACTTCTCAACTCCACTCTCCACCAAAACAACCTATTCCACACTCCTCCTCCTCCCCTCCTCACGTTCTCCAGGATCCCAGTTCCACGCACACAAATCTGGGAAATGCCTGGAGCTCCAGAAAAATCAGGATTTTAGGGTCACCAGCACAACCAACTGATAAATTTGGGTACCAACCTGGCAAGTGACTGGTGGCAGCTGCCTGAGCCTGTGCCCAACCCTGCCCCCTTCCCTCCAACCTCCTCAGCTGTACAAATTCCACCCCAAAACAGGCAGTTTCACTCCTGTAACCTTCAAATCCCAACTCCCAGGCCCTGGGTGAGGGGTCACACGTTGGTATCTCCATTGGGTTATTATCGTTAATAACCCACCCTCATCACCAGGAAGGGATTCCTGGAACTGGGAGGAGCAGAGTCCTCTCTGAACCACAAGAGTTGCTGCATCAGGCACCTTGAAGTAACCTCTGCTAAAAAATGTCCAATTAGTGCAAGGAGCTGCATGAGAAGTGGCCAGTGAAGTGACCAGTGTAGTGACCACCCAGCTCCCTGACCAAGAGAAGATCCAGGCAGCCATTCCCAGGTCTTTCTCTGCTCCCAGACCTCCCTCCCAGCTCTCTTCCACCTGATCCCAGCACTGGGAGCTCCCAGGACTCCTCCAGTTAACCACAAGCGCATTAGCAAACATTATGTCATTACAGGCACCTTGTCTGAGGCCCATTTAGTCACTTGTGGGGAACTGTCTAAAGCTGCTCCAACACCCCAGTGCCAGGGGAGGCTCCTCGGGGGCACAGGAGCTCCAGAAAGGACTCAACCCCTGCCCAGCTGCAGGGCTGGGAGCTGCCACCTCCCAACCCATCCTCTGCTTCAAAGGGGAGCTCATTCTGAGGTCATTTGGGTCTCCCCCAGCTGCCCTCGGGGCTGTCACCACAGCCAGGGCTGCAGGTCACGCCTGACCCCAGGTCAGCACCTCCAGCCTGGAGAAAAGCTTCCTGCTCGTCCCCCAGCAGCTCCTCGGCTGCAAGAGGAGGGAACACACCCCGAAATCCCTATGGGAGGATAATGAACCCCGCAAGGAAAGGGCTGTGCTGCAACACTGAGTCCATCCAATTATCCTGTGCTGCTCCCAGGCTGCTGTGCCCAGACCTGGGCAGGCTCTCCCGGCCTCCTCCAGGAGGGATCGCAGTTCTGCTGCTGGGAATGTTATGGAAAGTGGTTTCTGGAGCACAGCAGCCTTGCCAACGGGTACAGAGCAGCTGGAACACGAGGCTGATGGAACGGGGATGAGGAACAAGGGGGACACGTGGGGGTCCCACAGCACATCCCAGGATTGGTCCCTCCATCCCAGCCAACCTCTGGCTGCCCATTATTCCTCCTGCCATGTCCTGGGAGCACCACGAGGGAGAGCAGAGGCCCCAGGGCAGCACCCACCACCCTGGAGGCCAGAGCCACCGGAGCCTCATCACCCTGCAGGACGTGGGAAGTGAGAGGGAACTCCAGTCCCTTGGATCCAGCACAGTCTCACCAGAGGGGACAGTGCTTCCCTGGCACCTGCAGCATCCCGGTGCTCCAGTGGCTCCCACAAGCCACCCATCACCTCATCAGTCACGGAGTAATGAAGGTTGGAAAAGCCCTCCAAGATCAGCAAGTCTTTGTGACCAAATTTGTGACCAAATCCCACCACAGCCACTAAACCGTGTCCCATCCACTTGTTTTTCGTCCTGTCCCTTGTTCCCTGGGAGCAGATCCTGACTCACACCCGGCTCGCCCCTCCTGTCAGGGAGTTGTAGAGAGCCACAAGGTTCCCCCTGAGCCTCTTTTTCTCCAGGCTGAGCCCCCCCAGCCACTCCTCACAGAACTGATGCTCCAAGCCCTTCTCCTGGTCCCGCTCCCAGATGTTTCTCCAGCATCCCCACTGCAGATGCAGGGCTGGAGCAGCGTGTCCCTGCTCCATCGGCCCCTCCAGGGCTCCAGCCGTGCTCCTGCAAGCAACGAGGCCTCGGCACTTCTCTGAGAGGCCGAATCCCAGCTCGGAGCCGGTGCCTTGTGTCACCCTCCGGAGAGGCATCACAGCTCCGGCTCCCCATCACCCCCGACCCCAGGAGCCATGCCATCACCCCGCAGTGCCGGTGCCCCCCGTACCTGCCCGTCTCCTGCTCCCGTCCGCGGGCCCCGCACACATCGGTGAGGCTCCCGGCCGAGGTGGCGGCGGCGCTGGCGGCATCCCCGGCGGCCGAGCCCCCGCTGCAGCTCTTGGTGCGGAAGAGGCGGCTGAGGCGGATCCTGAGCGAGCCCTTCCTGCCGGTCCCGGGGCCGGTGGCGGTGCCCGCGGGGGCTGCGGGTGGCGGTGCGGGGCCGGGGGCTGCTCTGCGGGCGGCCCCGCGCCCGGGGGACCCCGGCTCCTCCTCGGAGCCGCTGCCCGCCTCGTCGGGCTCCAGCGCCTCCAGCACCAGCAGCGCATCGCTGGTCTCCTCGCCGGCGGGCGGCCCCAGGCACGGGCAGGGGGGTCCCGCCGCCCCCTTGGCCCCCAGCCCCGGCGGCGGCCGCAGCCCCAGCGCCGCCAGCTGCAGCTCCAGCCCCCCCTGCGCCGCCCCCCAACCCGCCGCCGCCTTGGGCTCCAGCGCGCAGCGGTGCCGCGGGCACAGCTCGGCCCCGCCGCCCCCCGGGACCCCCCCTGCCACCGCCGCCACCGCCGCCGCCGCCGGGCCGCCGTCCTCGCCGGGCCGCCCCTCGGCCGCCGCGTTGCGGAAAACCATCAGCTGCGGCCGCGGCCCGCCCGGCACCGACAGCCGCCCGCCCGCTCCGGGCATCGCGCCCGCCGCGCCGGCACCGGCACCGGCGCCGCCCGCCGCGCCCGCCTCCGGCCCGGAGCCATAGCCCAGCAGCCGGCTGAGCACCCGGTACGAGGCCGCAGCCGCCGCCGCCGCCGCCGCATCCCCGTCGCGCTGCATGGCTACGGCCGCCGCATGGCCCGCGGGCACCGGCACCGGGACGGGCACCGGGACGGGCACCGGGACATGCACCGGCCCCGGCCGCCGCCGCCCTCGCACGGCCGCGGAGCCCCCCCCGCCCCGCGCCGCCGCCGCCGCCGCCGCTCCGCCCCGGCGCTTCCGCCGCTGGCCGCGCCCCCCGCGCCCGGGACCGCCTCTCCCGGTCCTGCTGAGCACGCCCCGGTGTGGGGATGCCGCGCCCCCCCCCCCCGCTCCACCGATCCCGGCCCCGAGCCCACCGTGTGCACGTGGAGGGGCCGCGGGGGTGCGGTGTGGGAGCGCCGGGATGCGCTCCGAGCCTTGGAGGGTGGGCTTCAGACCCTGCTCGTGTCCACCCCCATCCCGCACCCACCCCCTGCAGCCCCACAGGGACAACCCGCGTGGGTGACACTCCCCCCATTCCCACCCCATGGCCGGCGGGGGGAGCGGGCGCTGTGGGATTGGATCCTTGGACCATCTGGGGACCCCGCGGTCGCCCTGCTCCCCCCGGCTGCCGAGGGGCCGCGGGATACCGGCAGGAAAATTCCCGTTCCCGTTGCCATGGCTTCCCATCAGGATGCTCTTGCATCACGGCCAGCCCGAGGGGCCGGGGAGCGGGGGTCCCCCCGGGGACTCGGCGCAGGGTTCCCCCTGGGGCTCAGGGCGGGGGGCTCCGGACAGCGCTGCGGCCCGAGCGGGAGCGCGGGGGCGGGCGGGGGGGCTCGGGGCAGCGCCAGCCGCTGAACACGGTTTGGAGCCGGTGACGTCTGCTCCGGCATCGCCGAGGGAGGAGAACGGGCGGCAGAGCGCGGGGCCGGCTCCGGGCAGCGCGGGGGTCCCTGCCGGCCATGTGCCCCCCGGGCCGGCCGGGGGGGCCGCCGGGGGACGGGGGGCTCCGCTGAGCCCCAGCCATGGGGCCGCGCCGCTGGCCGCTGCTCTGGGGCGTCCACGCGGTGCTGGTCCACGTCACGGTGCTCACGGCGGGGCAGCGCCCGCAGGAGAGACCCCCGTGGCCGGCAGGGTGGTCTCCGGGCGCCTCGTCCTCGTGGGCACCCACGCTGGAGCCGGGAGCGCCGGGGGACGCCGAGGGCTCGGCGGCAGCGCTGGCGTTCCTGCAAACGGGCGATGCCCAGCGCCTGGCCCGGGCCAACTGCAGCGGGGGGGTCGCAGCGGGACCCCCCGGTCCGGGGCCCCCCCCGGCCCTGCGAGCCGCCCTCCGGGCCGCCCCCGAGGCGCTGGCACACACCGCCAACTTCCTCAACATGCTCTTCCAGACCAACGACATCCGCGAGGCCAGCGTGGCCGAGGACGTGGAGTGGTACCAGGCGCTGGTCCGCAGCCTGGCCGAGGGGCACCCGTGGGTGCGCCGGGCGGTGCTGGCCCTCGACGCCCACCCGCTGGCCCCCAAGCCCCGGCTGATGCTCCAGGCCACCAAGGGGGACGGGCAGATCCTGCTGCAGGACGTGTCGGCCTCCGCCCCCAGCCTGGGCAACCTCAGCTGGGACAACGAGTGGTTCAACGCCCTCAAGTCCCAGCGGACCCCCCAGCTCCGCAAGCGCGTGCTCAGCAACGACCTCCGCAGCATGGAGACCCCCAAGTGGCAGCGGGGGGACAGCTACGTGGGGGACCCGGGCCACGTGAGGTGGTCGCCGCCATTCCTGGAGTGCCGGGACGGCAGGTTCCTGCCCGCCTGGGCGGTCACGCTCTCCTCCGCCTTCTACGGGCTCAAACCGGACCTCAGCCCCGAGTTCAAGTAAGTGGCTCGTTGGGGAGGGGGATGTTAGGAGGGCTGGGGGGCGCCCCGTGTGTGTGTTGGGGTTGGGGGGGGGAAGCTGGAGGTGTCACCCCGGGGTGTGCCAGCACCCTGCCTGTGTCCCTCGGGGTGTGTGTGAGCACTGCACGTGTGTGTTTGCACATCCCCGGGCACGGAGGTGACCCCTGCCCTCCCTCGATCCCCCCCCGTGATGCCCACCTTGCACTGCCGCCCCCAGAGCCCCCTGTCACGGCCGTGCTGGGGGTGGGTGAGCCAGGCTGGGACCCCCCCTGGGAACTGGGGGTGTCCCCGGGCTGGGGGGTCCCTGCTTCACCCCAGCACCCACTGTGTGAGGAGCCACGGAGGGAGGTGATGGGGGGAGGAGAGAGCAGCTGAGATTACTCCCAGAGAGGGGACATGGCCCCATTTCCCAGGGGGAAGTGGTTTCCCCTTGGGAGAACCCAGGGAAGGGGGTTAATCCCACAGAGACCCACCCCAATAGCCACTATTTCCAAACCGGTTGCATTAAAGCCCCTTCTGAGAGGCAGAATTCACACACAGGAGCTGCTGCCCCTGCTCCAGCCTCTCCAGACACGGCTCCGAGGGGGGACATCCCTGTCTGGGGGTCTGGGGACATTGTTGACACCTCATCACCCCCTGCCCCAGTCCCCACACCAGCCCCATCCCCACCGTGCCCGTCCCAGAGACAGCTGTGGGGCACGGCCACGCTGGGTGGGGGGCACGGGGTGGGCCCACACGACCCCCGGGGCTGAGCCCACCCCTCTGCACAGGGGTGTGGTGCGGGTGGACGTGGAGCTGCGGGATGTGGCCATCGACCAGTGCGCCAGTGGGCCGGGCTGGTTCTCGGACACGCATCGCTGTGACCTCAACAGCACCCAGGTACCCCACACCCCATCCCCGCACCCCTGGGCAGCCCTGGGGCACCCCCACACCCAACCACCCCCCGGGCTGCCCCTGCCCCGTGTCCCTCCCTCCGGGCTGAGCTTTATCCTCTCCCGGCCGATCCATCTGCTTCGTTCAGCTGCTCTCGCACCGCCGCGAGGGGTTTATTGTGCAAATCTTCCCTCGCCACCGCCAGCCTCGGCGGGTGACCCGCCTGCTGCCTGCCCCGGGCACGGCGGGCACGGGGGCTGCCAGCCCCGTGGGCACAGCCCCCCAGCTCCCCCATCCCCTCTGCCGGCTGAGCCGGTGATGCCCGAGCACTTCAGGGCTCGGCTCCACCATCATCACCCCCAGCCAGGGCAAACCCCACGTCCCCCCGGCCTTGGAGTCCCAACCCCAGCGGCCAAAAACTGTCCCCACGTGGGAAAGGCGTCAGCAGCTGCTGTTTCCTGCCGGCGGTGCCCTCAGGAGGGCCGGGCTCAGCACTGGGCATCCCTCCAGCGAACAACAATGCCCAGCAGGGCAGCCAGCCCGGCCCGTTCGGGGCAGGATGCGCCGGGGGGGATTAGGGAGCAGTGCCTGGCCTGGCACTGCCGTCACGGCTGGGCAGGATTAGGGCGCTCGGCTGCATTAGGTGTCCATTTAGGTTTTAGGGAGGGATTTGGGGCCAAGCTCTGGCTTTTAATTCTGAAATGTTTAACCACTGATTCCTCCTGAGCGTGGTGGGGGAGGATGGTGTGGGGTCAGGTAGCCGTGAGCTGGGAGCTGCCGGAGCCCCTGGGGTGGGGGGCGATGTGGGGATGGGGGGAGCACGTGGGGTGGGGGACAAACCCCTGCCCTCCTGCGTGTCTCAGCCTGTCCCCTTCAGTGTGTCCCCCAGGAGAGCCGTGGCTTCGTCCTCGGGAGGTACCTGTGCCGGTGCAAGCCGGGCTTTTACGGGGCCGGTGGAGTGGCCAGCAGTGCCTGGGCAGGTGGGTGTCGTGCCCGGCCCCGGGGACCCCGCTTCACCCAGTTTTATCCACGGATACAGCAGTGGGATCCAGGGCTGGGGGGGCTTTGGGAAGCCAGAACGTGTGCCCTGGCACGGGAAGTGCCACCAAGCCCTGGGATGCGGTGATTCCACCTGCATGAGGTGATCCCACTGGGTGCAGTGATCCCCCTGGGTGCAGTGATCCCCCCTGGGAGCAGTGATCCCACTGGGTGCAGTGATCCCACTGGGTGCAGTGATCCCCCCTGGGTGCAGTGATCCCCCCTGGGTGCAGTGATCCCCCTGGGTGCAGTGATCCCACCCTGCCCTCTCTCTGTCCCCAGGGTCGGACGGGGGGTCCCGCCTGGCGTGCTGGCCCTGCCGCCCGGGCTGTGCCACCTGCGAGGACGACAGGCCGTGCCTGATCCAGGAGGACCCGGTGCTGCGGGCGGCCGTGCTGTCGTGCCAGACCTGCTGCATGCTGGCCATCTTCCTCAGCATGCTCATCTCCTACCACTTCAGGCGGAGCAAGGCAAGGTGTCCCCAAGTCCTCCCCCTCAGCTGTCACCCCCTGCCCCGCTTCCCTCCCAGCCCAAACCCTGCGGTCCCGGGGAGGGGGGATCCCCCTGCCCTGGCTCCATCCCCTTGGACACCAGCTGAGGCTGCACCCTCACACCTCTGTCCCTGCAGAGGATCCGGGCGTCAGGAATCATCCTCCTGGAGACCATCCTGTTCGGATCCCTCCTCCTCTACTTCCCCGTAAGTATCCAGCTGTTCCCTGGAGCTGGAAACCTCCGGGATGGAGTTCACAGGATGGAACTGCCCCAAGCAGGGCACGGGCACGGCTCCACCTAATTGTTAATTTTGCTGGCACGGTCCCTGGGGGCTGCAGTATAAACCTTCTCAGAAAACCAAATCCCTTTTCTCCCGCTGGCTGCGGGAATTAATCCCTGCCCAAATCCCCTCTCCCTCCCGCACGAGCTGCGGTGGAGCCTGCAGGGTCAAGGGGAAGGGGGGGGCTGGATTGAAAGCAGGTGATTTCCGAGGCTCTGGAGGCGGGATCCATCCCGAGCCCATCCCTGATCCCGGTCTCCCACCGCTCCAGGTGTTCATCCTGTACTTCAAGCCGAGCATCTTCCGCTGCATCGTCCTGCGCTGGGTGCGGATGCTCGGCTTCGCCACCGTCTACGGCACCATCACCCTCAAGCTGTACAGGTACCCAGGGCGGGGGGCTCAGGACCCCTCCCCAGCAGGGAGGGCAGGGGGCTCACCCCTGTGCCCACCCCCCCAGGGTGCTGAAGGTGTTCCTGTCCCGCTCGGCCCAGCGGGCTCCCTACGTGTCGAGCGGGCGGGTGCTGAAGATGCTGGCGCCCATCCTGCTCCTGGTGCTGTGGTTCCTGGCGGCCTGGACCATCGGGATGCTGGAGAACATCAACAAGAACATCCCGCTGGTGATCCGCACCCAGACCACCCACGGGCTCCACTTCTACATCTGCGGCCACGACTGCTGGGACTACATGATGGTCATCGGTGAGGCCACCCCCAGTGGGGTCCCGTGGGTGCCCCCCAGAACACGCCGAGGGTGGCAGGGTGCCAGGGGTGGGTGCTCAGCGTCGCTCCCTGCTCCGCCCCACAGCCGAGATGCTGTTCCTGCTGTGGGGCAGCTTCCTGTGCTACGCCACCCGTGCCGTGCCCTCCGCCTTCCACGAGCCCCGCTACATGGGCATCGCCCTCCACAACGAGCTCATGATCTCTGCCGCCTTCCATGTGGTCAGGTAGGGCACGGGGCCGGGAGGGGCTGGGAACGGCGATTCCCATCCCTGGAGATGCTCAGGAACCGCCCCCAGCGGGGGGGGGGAAACTGTGGATCCCCAGGCAGGGGGAAGCTGTGGGGTCTGGGGTGGGAAGGGGGGGCTGTGGGTGCCTTGGTGGGACCTGGTGCTGCCCTTCTCACCCCTTCCAGGTTCCTCATCGTCCCTTCCCTGCATCCTGACTGGACTCTGCTCCTCTTCTTCGCCCACACCCATGGCACCATCACCATGACCCTGGCCCTGCTCTTCATCCCCAAGGTACCGTGTCCCGGGAAGGGAACGGAGCTGGGAAGGGGCTGGAGCAGCAGGAGCGGCTGAGGGAGCTGGGGGGCTCAGCCTGGAGAAAAGGAGGCTCAGGGGGGACCTTCTGGCTCTGCAATCCCTGACAGGAGGGGGGAGCCGGGGGGGTGTTGGGCTCTGCTCCCAGGGAACAGGAACAGGAGGAGAGGGAACGGCCTCAAGTGGCACCATGGGAGGTTTGGCTCAGATTTGGGGGAAAATTTCTTGATAGAAAGGGTAGTAAAGCCTTGGAATGGGCTGCCCAGGAAGGTGGTGGAATCACCAACCCATGGATGTGGCACCTGGGGACACGGTTTAGCCGTGACGTGGGTTAACGGTTGGACTCGGTTTTAGAGGGCTTTTCCAACCTCAGTAATTCTGTGACTCCAACATTCAGCCCAGGGACTCTGGGGGTTGGGGCTGGGGGCCCCTGGCACCGCAGGGACCCCTCAGTGAGTGCCCTCTCGTGCCCCCCCCCCCCCAGTTCCTGCACACGGGCTCTCCGCTGCGGGAGGAGATCACGGCCGAGGTGTACGAGGACGAGCTGGACATGCGGCGCTCGGGCTCCTGCATGAACAGCAGCATCGCGTCCGCCTGGAGCGAGCACAGTCTCGACCCCGATGACATTCGGGTGGGTGGCACACTCAGGACCTTCTTTTGACGCTGGTTGCGCAGAGTAAGAGGTGCCTTTCGCAATCTTTTCCTGATGCAAAGCAGAGGGAGGGGGGGGAGAGAAAGGGGGTTCAGGGGGACCCTCCCCGGGTGGGCAAACCCTCTGTGTGACCTGGGCTGGAGGGGTCGGGCAGTGTGGGGGAGAGGGTTTGGGGGCGTGGGGGGCAGCTTGGGAGGTTTGGGGGGGGCTTTTTTTTCCAGCCCCCCGCTTTACGCGCCCTTCTCTCCCCCCTCTTTCTGCCGTGCCCGGCGCAGGAGGAGCTGAAGAAGCTCTACCGGCAGCTGGAGGCGCACAAGGCGTGGGGGATGGCGGCCAACAACCCCCACCTGCCCAGGAAGCGCAGCTCCCGCCGCAGCCTCGCCCGCTCCATCCTGCGCCGCGGGGCCGACCTGGCCGAGGCCTCGTCCCGCCGGAGCAGCGCCGGGGACCGGGGCAGCACCCCGGGCCGCCACGGCTCCTCCGCCAGGACGAGGGCGCGGGACGAGGGGTCCCGGCGCCGCCCCTCCGCCCTGCGCCAGTCCCGCAGCTCCGAGGGGCCCCCCCGAGGGTCGCCCACCCCCAGCATCGTCCCCCCCGAGGAGCCCTCGCCGGCGATGGAGGTGACCCTGGAGCAATCTGACAGCGACTCGCTGGACGCCGCCCCGCTGGTGTGCAAGTCGGCCAGCGCCCAGAACCTGTCAGGGCACTGGCAGAGGCTCCCGGCCCGGGCGCCCCCCCTGCAGAAGTCGCACAGCGTCGTCACCGGGGCGCGGGAGGAGGCCCTGCTGGCCGCCAGCCGGGCCGCCCGGGAGGGCTGGCACAGCAGCAGGCACCGCTCAGCCCCGGCCTCGCGGCACCCCCCGGGCCATGCGCCCCCCGGGGACGCCGGGAGGGCCAAAGTCCCCGCCAAGAGCTGCTCCCAGGGGGACGTGTCCCCCCCGGGCGATGCCAAGGTGCAGAAACACGTCACCTACGCGCCCGTCAAGAGCGTCAGCATCGACAGCGCCCGCCCGCCCAGGAAGGTGCGGGTGGCCGTGAGGAAAACGCCCCCCGCGCCCCCCGTCCGCTACGAGAGCCTGGGGAGGCTCTCGGTGCCAGCTGGGGACCCCCTGGAGCCGGCGGAACCACCACGGGACCCCCCGGCACCGGCAGGAGAGCCGGGACACGCGTCCCCCCCTGCGGGTCTGCTGACCCCACCCCCCATCTCGGCACAGGTCTGTCCCTGGGAGATGATCCAGGACGAGATCCTGAGCAGGAAACAAAAATCCGCCAAGGCAGCAGACTCGGGGACCCCCGGTGACACCGAGACCACCGACCCCGAGCCCAGGCCGCGCCCCGCGAGGACCTTCCGGACTCTGGGCCTTGCCATCAAAGCCCTGAACCGCTCCAGGGGCAAGGGCAGCCTCAGGGGGAAGAGGGAGAGCGAGGGGAGCTTCAGGAAGAGGGGGAGCAGCAGGAGGGAGAAGCCCAGCATGGCAGGGGCCTTGGCTGTGTCCCTCGGGGGGCTCGGCCCAGACCCCGCTGCCCAAAGCCCCGAGGGGGGCAGGCAGAGGCCCCAGCCCCTCACCCGTGGGTACACAGTCCCCTACCAGCACAACAACAACGCTGCCACCCCCGGGGAAGCCACGGGCTGGGGGGACAGCGGGGCAGGAGGACACTGGGACAGTCTGGCACCAGGGACAGCCGGTGGGGACGAAGTGGCAGAGCAGCCCAGTGGGAAAATAGAGGTGGAGCCCCAGGAAGGGGATGGGGCTCCTGGGGTGGATTCAGGAAAGGATGTTCCAGCAGTGGATCCGGGGAAGGACATTCCTGCAGCGGATCCAGGGAAGGATGCTCCTGCAGTCACACTGGAGGAAGGAACAGCCAAAGGGCTCCAGGGGACCAGCGGGCCCATCCAGCCCCAGGACCACACGGAGAAGGAGCAGCCACCTGCAAAGCCCACCCCAAGCAGCCACCAACCCTCCACCACCTGCGTGCAGAGAGAGGCCAGGGAGAAGCCGAGGGCTGAGGTTTTTCCCCCGGGATCCATTGGAATCCCAGCAGGAAGGGCAGCCCTGCTGCGCCAAGAGGCCGTTGCTTCCCGGGAGGACTGGGCTGGCACTGGGGAACCTCCCCCCAGAGCTGCTCCCAGGAGCTCCAGGACTCCAGAAGTGCCCTGGAGGAGCTCCCGGGTCTCGGTGTGTCCCTGGGAGGCAGTGGGAGCTGACGGGGATGTGGAAGTTTGCCCTTGGGAAAGGGGAACGGCCTCGTCCAACGCAGCCAAGTCAGGGGATGGTGACGTCTCCCAAGGGAAAAGTGGCATTTCCCCACAGGCAGCAGCCCCAGGGGGAGTGGGAGAGGCAGCTCTGGCTGCAGACAAAGGGATTGGGCAGCAGGGATCCCCCAAATCCGGAGAAGGTGAGGAGCAGCCTGGGATGGGGCTCCCAGTTGTGCCCAAACCCTCATCCCAGCAAGCTGGATCTGTGGACAGCAAGAAGGCCACCATCTGTCCGTGGGAAGTGGAGGATGAGCCACGTCCTAAAACAGAAATCTGCCCCTGGGAAGAGGCTGCAGCTCCAGCAGGGAAGGAGGCATTGAGGCAGGACACCTCCAAAAGGGAAGGCAAACCAGGATCCAGAGGAGTGGAAGACAGCAAAGCAAAGCTGGCAGAGAGGGGTGGGCGGCAGGCACAGTGCAGGGACACCGGGATCTTCGCAGAGCTCCTCAGGAAAAGCCTGGAAAAAGCTGAGTCCAAGAAATCCCGGAGTATGGAGAGCATAAAGGAGGAGATCTGTCCCTGGGAGAGCCTGGACACGGAGCAGATTCCGACCAAACCCCGTGCAGGGAGCACAGAGGCTGCAAAGAAATCCCAGAGCAAGGAAAGCCTGAAGGCAGAGATCTGTCCTTGGGAGGATCAGGAGCCCAAATCCAGTGACAAAGCAGAAATCTGTCCCTGGGAAGGGGCTGAGCCTCAGAAGGAGAGGGGAGCAGCTCCAGGGAAGGACAGAGTCCCACCAAAAGAAGCCTCCAAAGCAGTGGAGAAGGGAAGCAAAGACCGTGAGTCCATCTGTCCCTGGGAGAGCATGGACATGGAACAACCTCCCATCAAACCCCACCCAGGGAGCACAGAGCCTTCAAAGAAATCCCAGAGCACGGAGAGCCTGAAGGCAGAGATCTGTCCTTGGGAGGACCAGGAGTCCAAATCCAGTGACAGAGCTGAAATCTGTCCCTGGGAAGGGGCTGAGCCTCAGAAGGAGAAGGACAGAGTCCCACCAAAAGAAGTGGCCACCTCCAAAGCAGTGGAGAAGGGAAGCAGAGACCGTGAGTCCATCTGTCCCTGGGAGAGCACGGACATGGAACAACCTCCTGCCAAACCCCACCCAGGGAGCACAGAGCCTTCAAAGAAATCCCAGAGCATAGAGAGCCTGAAGGCAGAGATCTGCCCTTGGGAGGATCAGGAGTCCAAATCCAGTGACAGAGGAGAAATCTGTCCCTGGGAAGGGGCTGAGCCTCAGAAGGAGAAGGACAGAGTCCCACCCAAAGAAGTGGTCACCTCTAAAAGTATGGAGAAGGGAAGCAAAGATCGTGAGTCCATCTGTCCCTGGGAGAGCATGGACATGGAGCAACCTCCTGCCAAACCCTACATGGGGAGCACAGCACTGCCCAAATCACCTTCAAAGAAATCCCAGAGCATAGAGAGCCTGAAGGCAGAGATCTGTCCTTGGGAGGATCAGGAGTCCAAATCCAGTGACAGAGCAGAAATCTGTCCCTGGGAAGGGGCTGAACCTCCCTGCCAGCAGCCAAAGGCAAAGCAGGTTTCCCAGGAGGGCTCCAGGGGGGACAAGCGCATCACGCGCCAGGCAGCGCTGGCCAGCCCGGACAGACTCCCAGGGAAGGGCAGCAGTGACAGGGAGGCTGTGTGTCCCTGGGAGAGCCTGGGCACACAGGAACCCTCGGGAACATCCCATGCTGTGGGCAAAGAGCTGCCCAAGTCACCTTCAGGGAAATCCCAGAGCATGGAGAGCCTGAAGGCAGAGATCTGTCCTTGGGAGGCCCAGGAAGTCAAATCCAGTGACAGAGGAGAAATCTGTCCCTGGGAAGGGGCTGAGCCTCAGAAGGAGAAGGACAGAGTCCCACCAAAAGAAGTGGCCACCTCCAAAGCATTGGAGAAGGGAAGCAGAGACCGTGAGTCCATCTGTCCCTGGGAGAGCATGAACATGGAACAACCTCCTGCCAAACCCCACCCAGGGAGCACAGAGCCTTCAAAGAAATCCCAGAGCACAGAGAGCCTGAAGGCAGAGATCTGTCCTTGGGAGGATCAGGAGTCCAAATCCAGTGACAGAGCAGAAATCTGTCCCTGGGAGAGCACGGACACAGAGCAGATTCCATCCAAACCTCTTGCATGGAGTGCAGAGGCTGCAAAGAAATCTCAGAGCAAGGAAAGCCTGAAGGCAGAGATCTGTCCTTGGGAGGATCAGGAGCCCAAATCCAGTGACAGAGGAGAAATCTGTCCCTGGGAAGGGGCTGAGCCTCAGAAGGAGAGGGGAGCAGCTCCAGGGAAGGACAGAGTCCCACCAAAAGAAGCCTCCAAACCTATGGAGAAGGGAAGCAGAGACCGTGAGTCCATCTGTCCCTGGGAGAGCGTGGACACGGAGCAACCTCCCATCAAACCCCACCCGGGGAGCACAGCACTGCCCAAATCACCTTCAAAGAAATCCCAGAGCACAGAGAGCCTGAAGGCAGAGATCTGTCCTTGGGAGGATCAGGAGCCCAAATCCAGTGACAGAGCAGAAATCTGTCCCTGGGAGAGCACCGACACAGAGGATCCCTCCCTGAAAACTGTGATGGAGAAGGAACCATCCAAGAAATCTGACAGCACAGAGAGCAGGAAATCTGAAATCTGCCCCTGGGAAGCAGCAGAGCCCACGGGGTCAGAGAAGGAAAGCTCCAAAGCAGGTGTGCACTCACAGGGAGCTGACAGAACCTCCCAGCCCGGGATGGGAAAGCCAAAGCCGGTGGCAGGAGCCAGTGTTGGGTCTCCAACAGCCCCGCTGCAAAAATCCAAGGGCAGCTCTGATGGGGAGGCCAAGCACAAGCCCCTGTGCCGCCTCCTGCCCGGCATCCAGCCCCCAGGGGTGGGCAGCAGCTCCAGCCCTGGCACTGGCCTGGCTGAGGTTTGTCCCTGGGAAGCAGAAGAGGCTCCCTCAGCCCCTGCCAAGCCCAGCACAGACACGAGGAAAACCTCCCAGGTGTGTCCCTGGGAGGAGGAGAGTGTGGATCCCACCCCGACCCAGCACAGCCAGGGCAGAGCCAGGGGGAGCCCCCGGGACGGAGAGGGGGGTGAGAGGGACACCCAGCCTGACGTGTGCCCGTGGGAACACCAGTAACTCCATCCACAGATCCCAGTGCAGACGTGGCTTTCAGGGAGGGAAAGGCTGGGGCTGGAGGCTGCTCCCACCCACAGAGCCCCCGTGCTGGGGGTCTGTGCTGTGTAAGGACATGTAAATACAGCAAATAAAGGGTGTTGTTACAGGGTGTGCACTGAGAGGCTCCGTTGTGGGGGTGGGGAAGAGCTGGGGGAACCCCCAGGAAGGGGCTGTGGAGGGAACCCAGGAATGGAGTGGTTTAGCTGCAGGGGGAGATGGGGGGCCACGTGCAGCTCGACTGGAAGGAAAGGCCATGGAAAGGCCACTCTCCCCAAAAAGCCAGACATTTTCCACAAAAAACTACCCTTTTCATTCAGAGCCAGAGCTGGAGAACCTCACAGAATCCCAGAATGGTTTGGGTGGGAAGGGATCTTGAAGACCATCTCCTTCTCCACCCCCTGCCATGGGCAGGGACACCTTCCACCAGCCCAGGCTGCTCCAAGCCCCGTCCAACCTGGCCTTGGACACTTCCAGGGATGGGGCTGGGAAATCCATCCCAGCCCCTCCTCGCCCTCCCAAGCAAGAATTCCTTTCCACCATCCCACCTAACCCTGTGGTTGTGATGCTATCCCCCTTGTCCTGGCCCTTCTGAACAGTCTCTCTCCATCTTTCCTGGAGCTCCTTTGGGTCACAATTAGCTCACCCTGAAGTTTCCCTTTTCCAGGCTGGACAATCCCTTGAGCAGGTCTGGGCTGAGGAGTCGCACCCCCACCTGTCCCAGCTCACCCAGCCAGCAGCTCCCAGGGAGTTATTTTTGCTCCTGGCTCAGCTCCCACACTCCAGAGCCCCGGGTGCCTCCTCAGCTCCCGAGCGAGGCGGAGGCAGAGGCTCCATTTAGAAAGTTCTTTCAGGAACAGACAGATTGTGACACCCCTCTGGCTTCCAAAAGACATGAAAGGGATTCCATTGCTGGCTCCTCTCCCGACACAGCACAGGGATGATGTTCTGCCCTTCCAAAAGAACATCATTCACAAAAAAAGGCCGAAAACGCTGCGAGCAGAACGAGTCACAGCTCCTTTTTTTTTTTTTTTTTTTTAACAGCTCTGCAAAATCTCTTTCAAGGCAGGGATAAAAATGCCCGGGACTCTCAGGGATGAAACAAAAGTGCTCTGGAAATGGCTGAGTTAAAAAGCAAGACGGGGCTGAAGAAGAAAACGCTTTGTCACTGGGTGACCAGCGAGTAGTTGGCTCTGTGAGGGACCTGGCTGGGCTGAGCAGGGCAGGGACAAGGTTTATTCCCAGCCCTGGAGAAAGGCAACCTCTGGGGATGTGTTTTCCCGAGCCATCCAGCAAAACCAGGGCCTGATGCAAATGTCTCTGTGTCCACAGGATGGTGCCAGTCCCCCAGTGCCAGCACAGAAGCCACGAGCTCTGTCCCAGGCACCAAACCCCCCAGCCCGGGGAAAGGCTGCCTCGCAAGGAGCCAAAAATGAAATCAAATTGAGCTGTCAGGGCTGTGCTGCAGCCCCCTGGGGAAACTCCCACTCTGCAGGAGCCCAGTCCCAGCACCCCCCTCCCCAAAGAATTGGATTTAAAGGGTTCTTGCTGCTTTTCCCTGTTTTGTTTTAAAGGAGGTTGGGAATCAGTAGGAAAAGGGAGGGGGAACGGGAAAACAATGTGCCAGCAGCTACTGGTGGAGGTTTTAATGAATGAGCAGCAGGTCTGTGACACTTCCCATGGAAGTGACAAATATCCCATGTCTGGACACATTTCCAAGGGCTCTCCAAGAGCCAAGGGCTCTCACAATGGAAACCCAGGACAGAGAATGGTCCTGAGGACAAACACAGGGAGAGTGAAGCTGCAGCACACAAAGTCCTTGGACAGAGTAAAGCCCTTCTCAGGGCTCATTCAAATCCCTCTCCCAAGCCCCTCTTGCTCCTTCAAGGACAAATTTGGGGTGACTGGAGGCCATTTCTGAAGCCACTTTGTTCCTTGGCTGTTCCCAGGGCAGGCACAGCCACATCCAACCTGCTGCCTCCACAGACACTCCCAGTCCTCCCTCCCTCCCTCCCAGGCTGCTGGCACTGCTGTCCCTGTGCAGGTTCCAGAACGTCCTACTTCACTTCTTCATACTCCTGTGAGGGGTCCAGGGTTGGGCCAGGAATCATCACCGTCTGGAGGAGCAAGGAACAGAATCAGCAGCTCTGAACTGCTCCACCTTGCAGAGGGGAGGGAAGGGGAGCAGAGAGGGGACTGGATGGAGGCAGCACAGGGAAAACACAGAGGGCGAATGGGGTGGGATGGCAGGCCTTGCACCACACTGGAATTCTCACCTCCTTCCTCTCTAGAGGCTGTTTTTAGTCCCACAGGGAGACAGAGCCCCTGCAGCACTTGGCCAGGTCAGGCACAGGGAGAAACAACCCCCCAAATTATCCCCCACCTGCCCTCTGGCTCCTATTCCAGGTGCTCCAGGTGACACCCCTGTGACAGTTAGACAGCTCTGCTCGTGGATCAACCCACCACCCTCCCCTTCCGGGGGGCTCAGCCTTGTCTTTACCCCTGTTTAACCGGGAATCTGCATTTCCCAGCCAGGCTGGTGCCTCTCCCCGGCGGGATTACCTTGATGATGGGATCCTTTGGAGGGGCCCACTCGGGAACGATCTTCCCGTGCATCCTCCACGAGCTGTAGGGGTTCACCAGGTACCTCTCAAACACCACATACTCCAGGACATCCTTAGGCACCTGCTCCCCGCCGTACATCAGCCGCCCAAAGCGGTCGTAGATGGCCAAAATCTGCAAAAACAGCCAAAAAAAAAAAAAATTAAAAAAGAAAAATACAGCTTGGACGGGGTTTGGGGGCCCCGGGACGGTACCTGCCGCGTGTGCATCCTCACGGTCACCTGCCCGTACAGGTTGCCCCTGTTCACGACGCTGTCACAGCGAACGTGGACCACCCTGGGAGGCTCCAGGGACTCCACAAAGCTCCACCTGATGGTCTTGTACCTGTTCCCACGGACCATCTCCTGCAAGGGGTAGAAACAAGCAGCACCAGCTCGACTCAGAACACAAAGTGCTGCATCCAACAGGGTGTTCAGTCATCAGCTGTTATTATTTCCCTCCAGGGAATGGCTGGAGCTGTGTTAGGGGAAGTTCAGACTGGATTTTGGGACAGGTTCTTCCCCCAGAGGGTGGTTGGGCACTGAACAGACCCCCCAGGGTTTGGTCACGGCCCCAAGGCTGCCAGAGCTCCAGGAGGGTTTGGACAGCGCTCTTAGGGACAGTGTGGGATTGCTGGGGTGTCCCGGGCACAGCCAGGGGTTGGACTTTGATCCTTGTGGGTCCCTTCCCACTGAGGATATTCCAGGATTCCACAGTTTTGCAGGCAGACACTCACGGGGTAGCAGCGCTCGGTCACCAGCGAGTGAAGTTTCTGCTTGTTGAAACTGCAAAGGAAACACAGCCCGTTACCTGAGCACCACAAAGAGGCTTCCCCCCAAATCCCTGCCTTGCCAGGAGACACACAGGCTCCTGGGAAAACAGCCAAATCCTCAGCTGGGAAAAACGAACTGGAACGTGAGCTGAGCTGACACAACTCCAGGGAAAGGGCACAGGAAGGGGGGGAGCCACTTCTGACCTAAATGTTTTATTGATGTTTGGAGCTGGAGCCGAGAGAGAGGCAGGTTTGAAATCTGCTACTGGAAAGCAGAGCCAGCCAGTGGAGTGCCATTTCATGGAATGATGGAATGGTTTGAGGGGGAAGAGGGACCTGGGAATCCCTCCTTGTCTTTCTAATCCTAAGGAGGGTGGAACTGGATGAGTTTAAGGTCCCTCCCAACCCAGACCACTCCATCTTTCCACGATTCCATGAAAACCAGAGCATCTCAGCAGGTCCTACAACACCCATATCAGTCAGGGGAGGGTCTTACTTTGCCAGGGAATTGTGAGCTTCGATAAATATCTCCTGAGCCTTCTCTGGGAAGGTTTTAGTGCTGAAATCCGGGTCGTGATCTTTGATCTTCCGCAAGCTGGAAGAACAGGGAAAGGAAGGAAAGGAACAGGTTGGAGCTGTCCCAGGTGTCTTGGGTGATGGCAGTCTCTCAACCCCCCCAGTATCTCACAGAGACAAAACCAACACAGCTCCTGCAGCCCCGAATTAAGCTAATTAATGAACAAGAAGGCACTCACGCCAGCT